AGCCACCCCCCCCCGCTCCGCCGCCTTCCTCAAACCGTGCCGATAAACGGGGCCCCGCGTCTACCCGCGCAACCCTCCCGTCGACCTGCTCATCCCCCTCCTCTCCCCTCCAAGCGTACGAGGTGCTGGGTCCAGCGACGCCACCCACGTGCTTTCGCACCACAAGCTTCCCCGCCGCTTGCCCTAACCCCGCCCCTTCTCCGCCACGGCCGCCGCCGCCGCCGCCATTCGTAGGCATGACGCGCATCGCGGGCTGCTGCTGCTGCTGCTGCTGCTGTTGCTGCTGAGGCGGAGGAGAGGAACTCGGTGCTTGCAGCCCTTGCCGCTGCTGCTGCTGCTGCTGCTGCTGCTGCTGCTGCTGCTGCTGCTGCTTCTGCCCGAATATCACCGGCGTCCCGGGGCCACCCCGCAACCCGTCTCCGGAGTGCGACCGCGCCATGGGCGGGACGAGAGTCGGGCGATAGAGCCCCGCCGCCTTGCTCCAGACCGAAGGGTTGTCGGCGGACCGGCGAAAGAGGTCGATGCACGCCTCCAGCACCGACTTCTCTCCGGTCCTGCCCCCCCCCGGCAGTCGCCCCCCCTTGCTTGACCCCCCTCCTCCGCTACCAACCGCCCTGTTGGTGGTGGTGGTGCTGCTGCTGCCTCCCGGTAGCGGTCTCCCGCTGGAGTCCAAGTCGGCTTTCGGGTTCCTGCGCGAGGGGTGAGGTATTGGTGGAGGTGGTGATGGTGGAGGTGGTGATGGTGGAGGTGTGCGTTTGTTGGGAGGGGGTATGGAGGAGAGGCGCAGCGGGGGGGGGGGGGGGGCTTACCAAAAAAAAATGGAACCAAAGAAAGGGCGGGTTTTGGGGTGACATAAAAAAAAAAGGGGGGGGGAAAAAACAAAAAACGTTCCCAAAACCAATGGGGGGGGGAAAAAAACCGGAAGGTCCCAACAAAATTTGGGCCCTTGGGAAAATTGGAAAAGGGCTCCCCCTCCCCCCCCTTTAGAAAAAATTCATCCCGGAA